AATACAGAACCCAGAAAAATTTTCACAGACAGCACAGAATAAAAAAAAAAAAAAAAAGTAATTTATTAAATAAAATGCATTTTATATTTCACTATTATTGTTAAAAAATTATAATATTTATAAATTATTAAATTGATAAAGATTTATGAATTACATTTAATACATCATTTTTGATCATTTAAATTTAATAAAAAAATTAATACAGTAATCACACAATTTGGTTTCATATGGCCCTAAAACTGCACTGCTAGCATTATATTATAAGCAACAAGAACCAAAGAAAAGAAACTGAAATGAGCCTGATGCCGTGAGTCAGCATGTTTATTTGTGAGTGTGTGTTTGTGAGTGTTTGTGTGTGTGAGTGTGTATGTGAGTGTGTGTGTGAGTGTGTGTGTGAGTGTGTGTGAGTGTGTGTGTGTGTGTGTGGAATATACGGTCTGTAAAGTATAAAAACCATTACGCCTATGGGATGTCCCCACTTTTCACAAAAACAAACCTGTGTGTCTGTGTGCGTGTGCGTGCGTGAGCGTGTGTGTGTGAGAGAGAGAGTCCTCAAAGCTTTTGTCTTCGTCTTGTCTCAGGCTGAACCCGGCGGTGGAGCAGACAGCAGCAGTGTGAGGGATTCTGGGATGGAGGAGTGGATGGAGGATGAGGAGGGTGTGTCTCCGCCGCTGCTGTGCTGTGAGACGGAGGATGGAGTGATTCCTCACACGCTGGAGCGCCTGCTGGACTCGTCCAGCTGCAGAAACCCGTCCGATTGTCTGATGCTGGCGCTGCATCTGCTGCTGCTGGAGACCGGCTTCCTGCCACAGGTCAGAGTTCACGCCATGACCTCTGCTGACCCCTCACACACTCCATTCATGTTATTAATTAACAGAATTAATGCTCTTACTTTGGTATTTGATATTGCAGGCCAACAAACAAATCTAAATTTTTAGAGATTATCATAATCATAACAGAGATTTTAATTCAAATGAACAACCAAATAATTGATGAATCATTGACATACAGATATTTAAAATATACTTCAAATTTTGCAGTGTAAATATGCATTTTACAAAAATATATAACTTAACTATAATTGTAGTTTTATCCATTTATAAAAAAGCATTTTAATAGATGAATGTTTGGTATTATTAATGTAATAGTGTATATATAAAATACAGAATCTTTCTCTTTTTTCCAAGAAAGATTTGGCCAGCTATTGTTAAAATTTGAACAATTTATTTATTTATTTAATTGTTAAAGTTCTATGAATACAGTTAATTAGGCATTCTTTTTGATTATTATATGAAAAACACAGCATAGTATTACCACATTTTTGACTGCAATGTAAATATGAATTTTACATAAATATATACTTAATAAATACCTGTAATTGTGGTTTCATCCATTCATAAATAATAATTTTAATGGATTAATACTTGGTATTGTATAATAATAATAATACAGATTTTTTTTTTATCCGCAAGAAATAAAAAAGTAGTTGGCCACTACTGTTGTTAAAATTTGATCAATTCAGTTGTTAAAGTTTTATGAATTCAACTGATTAGACATTATTTTTGATTATTAAAAAATTAGAACAACACAGAATATGAATTTTACAGAAATATATTCTTAATTGTAGTTTTATCCATTTATAAATGTTAATAGCATTTAAATTGATTAATGTTTGCTATTATTATTGTATTATTGTGTATATAGAAAATACAGCAAGAACTCTATAGGACATTCTTTTTGAATATTAAAATGTAATTTTAAAATTAGAATGAAAAGCACAGAATTTGGGAATGAATAAAACAGATTTCATGGCATTAATTAATAATCAACAATAACAAAACAACACAAAAAGAAACTGAAATGACAAGCTTTTTGTTTTTGTTTAATGGATTGAACAACATTTCCAACATTTCTTCTGACTTTGCACTTTACATTAAAACTATAACTTTATAACACTGTGAACTTACACATAAAGTTGACTTTAATGCATGCATGCGATATTAATTACCAAATTCTAACAAAATGTGTGTAAAACACAGGTGTTTTTAACTGTTTTTAAGTTTGAACGTATCAACATATTAACAGTCTGAGAGTCATATTAAAATCAAAAAAAGATAAATAATCAAAAATTAATCAATCATCAATTAATCATTCACATCCCTGATCTGAATATCCAAACGATGACACACTTTTATGCATAATTGCTCACAGAGTCTGACATTGGTTATTCTCTCTCTCAGGGTTGTAATGTGAACTCGGGCGAGATGCCGATTGGCTGGCAGGCAGCAGGAGGCGTGTTCAGACTTCAGTATTCCCACCCACTTCTGGAGAGCAGCCTGGTGTCAGCGGTCGCCGTGACGATGGGCCAAACGCTCGTCATTAATGGTGTGTTAATCTGCACACGGCAGCTGTTATTAGTCTTCCTTCCTTCATTTGATTTGATTAATTGGTTATTTGTTGTGAAACAGCTGTTCTTAAGATGGACAAGATTATGGAGAATTCACGCAAGCTGGTGCTGAAACCAGATGATTATGTGACGGCTGATTGGGCAGGTAATTTTAAATATGCATCACATATTATATTTACATTGCATGAGTATGAGTGAGCTGTATTACCTACAGTATATTAATCACTGAAAATAATGCTGATCCTCAAAGTCATGATGAAATGGAAGTAGCGACAGATCTTTTCTTCTAGAGAAAAATTTTAATTAAAAGAAAACACGTACACAAATAATTAAAACTTTAAAATTAAAGTGAAAACTGAAAATATAAAAATATTAACAAAAACTATAATAGTATATCAATAGATACTGAAATAACACTCATGTGAACACAACTTATATTAACAGTTATATTAATAAAAAAGTACATTTCTAAAAACTATATGTGACCCTGGAGCACAAAACCAGTCATAAGGGTTTCAATTTTTCAAAATTGAGATTTATGCATCATCCGAAAGCTGAATAAATAATCTTTCCATTGATGTATGGTTTGTTAGGATAGAACAATATGTGGCTGAGATACAACTATTTGAAAAACTGGAATCTGAGGGAGCAAAAAAATCTAAATATTGAGAAAATCATCTTTAAAGTTGTTCAAATTAAGTTCTTAGCAATGCATATTACTAATCAAAAATTAAGTTTTGATATATTTACGGTAGGAAATTTACAAAATATGTTCATGGAACATGATCTTTACTTAATATCCTAATGATTTTTGGCATAAAAGAAAAATCTATAATTTTGACCCATACAATGTATTGTTGGCTATTACTACAAATATACCCCAGCGACTCCAGGCGCACATTTGTTCTTTTCTATAGTAATTGTCCAGATCTCACATCCTCTGTAGTTTTCACGCTGAGCACTTCAGCAGGTTTTGTATGTTTCTGCAGGTGGCTGCGCAGGCGTCGTCTACACAGACTTACGCAGACTGTCTCGTCTCTTTAAAGATCAGCTGGTGTATCCGCTCATGGCCGCCGCCAGACAGGGTGATCATCATGATTATTGCTCTCTCTCAGTGCTAGCATCACGTGTGTCATACAGAGGGTTTACTGAGTGAGTGAGTGAGTGAGTGTGTGTGTGTGTGTGTGTGTGTGTGTGTGTGTGAGAGTGTGTGTGTGTGTGTGTACATACACTCACACACACACACACACACACACACACACACACACTTACATACACACTCACACATACACTCACACACTCACACACACACACTCACACACACACACTGACACACACTCACTCACACACACACACACTCACACACACACACACACACGCACTCACAC